TCAACAAGGATGGAATGGATACTTTGAGATGCTTTGTGGTTTCACTTATCTAGATCTTGTCAAAGAGTTTTGGATTAATTCTTCCATTGTTGAGTTGAATTTTGAGTGTGCTATTCTCTCTAAGGTAATTGGTGTTTCTATAGCAGTAACCTCCAAAGCGATTGCTAATGTTATCAATTGTGAGGAAGTTAGAGAAATCCCAGGAACTCTTGTTTGGGAACAATATCTTCCTACTTTGCATATCTTTGTAGATCCATATAATACATCAGTGGTCTCAAATATTTGTCCTGATGTTGTTGTTTGGAATCAGATTCTGAATTCAAACTTACTTCCTAAAGATGAGGATTTAGACCTTGTGGACCCTATTGAAAAATATTTGCTTCTACTTCTCAATTCAGACTTGCAGATTGATCTTCCTCAAGTTATGTTTGACTATTTAAAGAAGACCCTTTCTTCCTTTCACAAGGGAAAGATTTTCTTCATTCCTTTTGGACGAGTTCTTTCAGAATTACTTGTTCAGCAGGGAGTTATCATAAGTTCAGAGGCTGATTTGTTTAAAATCTGGAGAGACAAGTTTTAAGCTATCTATGAAAGATTCTGATGTTAGATTTATGCATAGTTATGCCTTGTAATTATTATAACCTTTGTATTAAGTTATATATTATTAATTTAAAGTTTGTTCATGTTGTTGTTCAGTTAAATGTCAATTATATTTATTTATGGTTATTTAAAAGAATCAAAAGTAATGGGAGTAAGAACTTAATGTTTGCAACTTTTACCATTAATAAGATGGAAGGTATTACAAATTATTTAGACATTCTATTCTATTGGATTGACCCTAAGGTATTCCTTAGGATCATCTTACATGTCTATATTATATAAGTAATCTTGTCATTCTTCCTTGGCAAACTCCAAAGCATCCTTTCTCAGTTGATTTTTGTGTCTGGACCCAGAAGATCTTCTTCTTTTGTGTGTCTTCACAAAGGACGTTGAAGATGTGAGAGCTTCTGAAGTCATATGCTTGCTAGTAGATCCTTCAGTTGCTGCTTTGCTTTTACTTGCCCGAGTTGCTGCATTCAGTATGACTGTGTTTCTAAAATCTCTCTTTGAAACTCATATTTGCTTCAGTTTGTATATCTTGGTGTTTTGAGGGTTACGTGATTATGAAAGTAAGCATGCTATGAGTTCTTATATAGATGTGTTACGTACATTTTTCCAAGTATCTGTTGCTTTAATATTGATTAAGTCTTATCAATATCTTAAATGATATATCTTGGAAATGTTATCTAACAATATAACCTATTAAAGATTCTTTAACAACTATGAATATTATACTTGACTCGTTTAACTGATTTTTCTAGTGTCAATTTTACTTCATTAATGCCTTTCAGTAAATCTAAAGGAAGTTATTAAAAGTATTTGCATGCAATAAACAAAATTTGGCCAAAAAGGTACTTTTTCATTAATTGAAGTAGAAGATAACAAAATATTGATTCATAAGGAACTGCTAGTAGTTAGTATAGATCTCTATCTAAGTTATCCTGAGCCTTATGGTGATAATAGTTGTTATAGTCTATGTCTAGCTTATCTTCATCAATTTCTTCCTCTCTCGCCTATGGGATTAGACGGTAGAACATCTTGTTGGATCGTCTTCTCTTCTTTGGTCTCTTCATTATCTTTATTTTGGGCTTCATCACATCTTCTGATGAACCTATTCCTGTAGGTCATATTAGAGCTTACGAACCTCAACCTTGGAACTGTTTGACTCATAGGGAGCTTACAAACCTCAGACTTTGATGTTACTAAGAAAATTGAATTACTTTTTCTTGAGAGTAGTACCTAGTATGATGCCTACAAAACTCTTCTTTGGACTATTAGACTCGGAAGAAGCTTATAAACCTCATACCATGATGTTGTAAAGAAAATTATAACTGCCTAACACTGTCCTTTAAATACTTGTGTTTGTCATCATCAAAAATGGGGAGATTGTTAGAACAAGATGTATTCCTGACATATTTTCCTTAGGTTTTTATGATAACAAAGTATTGAAAGAACAATGGTTTATTTGATGTGTTACATGTGTGCAGGTTGTAATACTTGTAAATATTATTGTCAGAATCTGTTCTACATTAAGCACACTTCGAGAGTTGCTGAATTGCTAGCTTCTGGTGGCAGAATCTGAAGAAAACTTGCTAACTGATGTCTGGCGAAGACTCTGAAGCTGAAGGTCTCAACATCAGAAGAAGCAACATAATTTTTTCTACACTTAGTAAATCCAAATTGGCTTCTGGTACCATTCCGAGTTGGTGATAAAGCTGAAGCTGTTCGTACTGCAGAAAGCAAGTTGTATTGTTAAATCAGTTTGTCAGCTAGAGTCTACAAATTACAAGGCTCAAGAAAGGATGAGATACTTTATGGATATCTACACTCAACGACTCTAATAGTACAGAAACTCTTGAAGACTCAAAGGTTAAACATGTTTCATATTGGATTAAGATCTTCTGGTGTATCTATCTTCAACATCTCTTGTACTATGGAGTAACAACAAAGACTTTTGATCAAGTTACCTATTCAACGACTAGTTTCTGAAAAGGCTATAAATATGGAGAAGGTTCAAACTGAATCTTTAACAAAGATTAACCAGAAGAAGGAGTAACAAGATCAACATTATCCACTCAATGTATATGCAAATTTTTCTGATGTAGGTTGTAATTGTAAAAGCCTTAAGATTTCTTACATATTGAATATCTTAGAAATCTTAAGTGCTTTAGGTCTTTGTTATGGTGATTTCTTGTAGCTCTAATACTTATGTCATGTACACTTTGTTCTCTATTATGCTGAGCTTGTTCACCAGTTTAGATAAAAGTCTTGTATTATTGAGATACAAGCAAGGAAGTCTCGAGCCACGTAAGTTTCTTGTTACGTGCTTGAGTTGTGAAAGTCTTAATCAAGTGGATTGATTGAGCAGAAGTCTTGTATCATTGGGATACAATCAAGGAAGTCTCGAGCCAAGATGCTTGAGCCATGTAAGTCTCTTTCTATGTGCTTAAGCAGTGAAAGGCTTAATCAAGTAGATTGATTGAACATGAAAGTCTTGAGCCAGTGTGGCTTGAGCAAGTTAGCTCGGTTCATGAAACTTAGAGCAGTAAATCTTAGTTGGTGGGGGTGCAAGCAGATAAGCTCATTTCATGGAACCTGGAGCAGAAGTCTTGAGCCTGAGGGGCTTGAGCAGGAATTCTTAGTACATGAAATTGGAGCAGTAAGTCTTGACCTGAGAGGTGCAAGTAGAGAGGCTCATTTCATGGGACTTGGAGCAGAAGTCTTGGGCTGAGGACCTGAGCAAGGAAGTCTTGGACCTTGGGTCTAAGCAAGTGTAAAAGTCTTATGCAGAATACATAAGCGATTGTAATCATGATTTGATTATAGTGAAAATCTCTTGCGAAACAAGGGGACTGGACTACTCTCAACTAGGGGAGAAACTAGTATAAATCTTTGTGTCTTCTGCTATTATTTATTTGCTTCGGTTAACATTTCACTGCTAAGAATTTACCAGAATTTGAACCCTAGTTTAGATTCTGAACTCTGATTAGATGTAAACTAAGAAAATGGAAAAAAACAATTTAATCCCCCTTCTTGTGTACTTTTCTCACCTTCACTCACAGCGTCAACATACCATATACACCCAACCTCGCAACCAATACATGTCACTCAACCAAACACAACGTCAAGAGCCTAAATCATACCACCAACAACCATACGTCGCCACCACATCTGTCTATAGCCTCGATAATTCATACGATTCCACCCCATCCCACCATAACCCCTACCAATGAACACCCAAACATTCCACCGCCAAAGCACCAAACCATTCTTTGACTTTCTTACACCACGAGAACCATTGCTTCATTTTCAAAACGATTCAATGTACCAATTCAGTCAACCATATCGTCCTCATGTAAGCCAACCACTACGACCCAACTTTGACAACATGAGCACCAAACTGAATTACAGTAGCACCGTTGGCAACAACCCTCAGCTATTGGAGACAAATGATTGAAAATATGTCAAATACATCAAAACCCTCGCACCAACCACCTTTTCTTCAGACCCAATACTCAAAGACCCCAAACACCTCAGGAAAATCGTGGGAGACCTCGAAGGCATACTAATGCGCTAGAATGTGAAACCGAGGAACGTTTTGATCGGGCGGATCATTGATTTTTTATTCAATTGTTGTCAGCTTGAATTTTATGAAATAATAATATAAATTAGTTTTAATTTTTTTTATTTCAATTTTTTAAATTATAATTGTTAACATTAAAAAAATAAAAATAAAATAAAAAAATAGCCAGTATGCATGTATGCGCCATTTGCATCGGCAACAAATACAAACATGCGTCAAATAAAATGGCTCATATGTGAAAAATTTAAGTGCATGCGACGAATTACAATTATTACTCCTCTTTCCATCCTTCTAAAACTTAGTCATTTCTTCTAAAACTTAGTCATTTGATAATAAATTTGAAACATAAGTAATTTTCGTATTTAGTTTTAATAAAATGATTATTTAAAAAAAAGAAACTTCTTAAAAAAAGTTGTAAACCAAAACGTGTATATAGTAACCCAAAAAATATTATGATAATTTAAAATAAAAATTAAAAAACACAAACACTTTTAGTAAATCCCAAAATTACATTTCAACGATCGGAGTTTGGAAATGCCACTACCGTAAAATTGAAGTTAATGGAAACTCGTGCTTCTTCATCTTATGTAAATTCTATTATCAATTTTCGTTGCTCTCGTTATACTTCTCGAAGTCAAAGCATAAAGAATCTTTAGCAACAAGTACCGAAATTCCAAACTATCATGAAGGTAAATTTATCCTTCAAATCTTTCAATCTTTGTCGGTGTTAAATTTCTGGGCACCGTTTGATTTTATTTTCTTCGCAATCAATCAGGTCATATTCGCGGTTTGGTGATTGATTTGGGGTTTTTGTTGCATGGCGAATCCTTGCATATCAAGGGAAGAAATCGCGAATGAAGCTATCAAACGCACTTTGAGGTCTCTGCGGAAGCGGCATTTGAGCGAAGAAGGAGCTCATGCTTCTGCTTTTGCTGCTCTTTGTAGACCTATTGTTTCACAGGTTTTTTTTTTTTTATATGCTTTGCTTTAGGGTTTTTTGTGAAATTGATTGTCGCAATCCCTAATTAGTTTGTAGAAATATCATTGGATCTTTATTGGGAGGGGGCGGAACCACTTGATGCAAGAACTGACCCAACCGGATTAATCGGTCTAGTGGGCCGGATGGTGGTGAAAAAGAAAAAAGGATAGTGCTTTTTTTAGAAGCATTTTTCAATCTTCAATGGTTAGTAAGTAGTAACACATACACTGGACAAGAAATTGAGACTGACACTTAGGTACTTGTATAATTTGAGAAAATGAAAATGATTGAATGTAATAAGTAGTCTCACTACTAATTCCTGAGAACATAATGAGTGGGCCTGATGGTGGAGATTTTCCAGTATCAGCAATATATGAGAACCCTGATGTCCCAAATGCTGATTCCCTAGAAGTTAATGGCCACAATCCCATCTTCATTGTGCTTAGTGATAGTGCTGGATTCTGGAGGGGGTTCTGTAGTGAGTGGTAACAAACTCCTCATTGCTTCTATTAAGGGAAGTATTGACGATTCTTCTGCAGAAGATGACGTGTGGAACTCCATTAATCTGGACTTTAGGGAGGGATCCAGATGCTGCTACAGCGGCTCAAGATGAGAAACAAGCTCGTTTTTTCACCAATACTTTTAGAGTGGCACATGGCTGTGACCCTAATGATATAGAGGTTAAGGATCGTCTTACTTTTAGGAGTAGCCGTTCAGTTTCTGACCGGCATTACCTTTTTCATAAAAGCTGGGTAGAAATGGTTAAACAGGGCTCACAGGCTTAGTGGAGCCGGCAGATGCCCATATGTACCGCTGAGCGGATCCTGAACTGGTGGAAACAGTTTCTTGCTTTTGGAGCCGGACACCAGACACATTTAATTTGAATTGTCAGTACTAATAGATGGTTATTGTTGTTTTTTTAAACAGGATCCTAATTACTGTTGTTTCCTGTTTCTTTTTGGGATTGGTTAGTATATTAATAGTTGTGGATGTTGCTTGCTAATGATTAATGTTGTTGTTACTTGGACCACAGTTTGCATTTAAATATTGGATGTTTTTACTTAGTTAAATGTTGTATTTGTGTCCTTATAGGGCTCTGAATGGAAAGAGAAAGCAGAGAGTCTTGAAGTGGAACTTCAGCAATGCTACAAAGCTCAATCCCGAGTATCCGAGCAGCTTGTTGTGGAAATAGCTGAATCCAGAACTTTGAAAGCTTTGGTTCAAGAGAAAGAAACTGCAACTGCTGATTTGCAAAATGATTTGACTGAAGCAAGGTTGCTTGTTTTCATTTTTATGTTTTTAATTCCAAAAGTCCTGTGTTGTCGACGGCGGACGGCCTTCCATGGTGAGCCAAAATCCCGCCATTCCAGCCACTTCGTGACACCGTTATAGTGGGAAAACCTGCAATATCAGCCGATATTTCCCATTGCTGTGAGCCCAAAAACTGGCATGTATATCCGCCATGGCGGATATTTGATAACACTGCAAAAACATGTACTCTTATTTCTTTATAGTTCAAAGATTTTGCTTGTGAGTTATGAAAGTGACTCAAATAAATTTTGCAGGGATGAGTGCATGCAATTGAAAAAGGACTTGGAAGACAAATGCAAAGCTCTTGAAGTGGTTCTGAGTGAGAATGCAGAACTTAAAAAACAATTGGAGCAAATGACAGTTAGAGCCAAGAATGCTGAAACTGAAAACAAGACATTGGTAGATCGCATGATGTTAGAAAAAATGAAGAACGCTGAACAACTAAATGAGGTTATTATACATTATCATTCTCCATATGAACATTTGAAATAAAATGGTTGTTTGTACGTATTCTCCATATGAACATAGGGCCTGTTTGGATTGTTTGGGAGTCCTTGTGAAAACAACTTATGACAGTGTTCGTTAGTTTTTTTTTAGCTTATTTTACAAGTTCTCCAAAGTACCATGAAAAACTGCTTATATCTTGTACGGAAATAATTTAACTTTATTATATCTTTTGCACTATAGAAATAGTTTCTATTTAGCACTTATCATAATAACCGCTTATGCTATAAGCTGCAAAAAAGCTGTTTCTTCAAACAGGGCCATAATTATTTGAAATAATAAAGTTCAGCTAGATAATCAGATTACAATTTAGTTAATTTGCCTTTAATCTGATACTTGTGTCATGGTCTTATTTGTAGATGTTAGTTACCTGAAAATGTTACATAATGCCGCTATTGCATCTAGTTTTGAACTTGTTTTGTGATTGTGTGAACTTTAGATTGTCTGCCGCCCAGTCGAGTAATTATGTGATTGTTACAACATTAGTCTATGTTTTTTTACATTTGTAGCACCCTCACAAAACTGTGATGATATTTTAATTCTATTAGCTGCATGGATTCTCAATGTTTCGCTGTGCTGATATAACCAATATATTTTCTATCAATTTAGGCAAACCAACTGTATGATGGCATGATCAAGCAGCTAAAGGCTAGTGGTTTAGAAAAACTTGCAAGGCAGCAAATAGATGGCATAGTTCGCCGAAGTGAACAAGATGCCGATGCCTTTTTACAATCAAATATCCCTTCCACATGCAAACACAGGCTCCAAGCACATGAAGGTGGTTGTGCTTCCATATTATTCGAGAACAATTCTAATAAGTTGATTACCGGGGGACAGGATCGAACAGTTAAAGTGTGGGATACAGATTCAGGATCCTTAATTTCCAATCTTTATGGATGCCTCGGCTCTGTATTAGATCTCACAATCACCAACGATAATAGATCTGTTATTGCTGCTAGCAGCTCAAATAACTTGTATGCATGGGATCTCAGCTCGGGTCGAGTCCATCATACCCTTACTGGTCACACAGATAAAGTCTGTGCTGTTGATGTCAGCAAGGTTTCCAGCCGTCATGTTGTCAGCGCAGCTTACGATCGCACTATAAAAGTTTGGGACTTGCTTAAAGGTTATTGCATTAACACAATAATTTTCCACAGCAACTGCAATGCTCTTTGCTTCAGCAGTGATGGACAGACCATATTTTCCGGACACGTTGACGGAAATCTTCGATTATGGGATATTAAAACCGGGAAACTACTCAGTGAGGTCGCGGCACATTCACTTGCTGTCACGTCAATATCTCTCTCGAGAAACGGAAATGTTGTATTAACCAGTGGAAGAGACAATTTACACAATTTGTTTGACGTGCGATCTCTAGAAGTTAGCAGCACACTAAAAGCCGCAGGAAATCGAGTGGCCTCTAACTGGAGTCGCTCGTGCATTAGTCCGGATGATAAACATGTTGCTGCCGGATCATCTGATGGGTCAGTCTATGTTTGGTCAGCATCTAACGGTGAAACAGTCAGCACTCTGAAGGAACATAATTCTTCTATCCTGTGTTGTGCATGGAGTGGCCTTGGAAGACCCTTAGCTTCAGCTGACAAGAATGGAGTTGTTTGTATCTGGACCTAAGGAAGTTCTTGGAAAAAGTATATTCATTTTAGGAACAATGTATATATTCATTTGTAACAGAAAAACAATTATAGTGTTACTGTATAACTTTTCTTGTAGTAACTTTTGTTCTGCACACATCACACATGCTATGTGCAATTACGCTACGGAAGTGGTGGTTTCATGAAAAAAACAGATAATAAAGCTTCAGCCAAAAGGAAACAGAAAACAGTTTTTAGAAATAAATAATTGATTGTGGAAACCAATACACTACGCCATGGAAATCCTTTAAAACAAGCAAGAGCATCACGCTGGACTCTAGAATCAAATGATAGCTACTATAGAATAATAATACTAAAATGTTCTATCACATTGCTTATGTCAATCGAATGGAATCTTCCCAAATTCATATTCCATCCGTTTCATTGTAACTCGCTTTAAAATAAATTGTACTAAATTATAAAAATTTTACTATATCAATAAATTATTAATGATATTTTTTCTATTATACCTGAAAGTATTTATTATTTTATAAAAAATAATAATGATTTATACGTTGTAGAGTATTTAACTAAGTTACAAACAGTTGAGTACATGTTACAAACAACCCAAATTAAATTCTAAAAACCATTCAAAAGAAGTTTCAAATATTAAAAAATGGAAATAAATTTTATTGCACTTTTTGTGTATGGTGTCACATACTTTCACTTTTTTGAATCTATTTTCTCACATCATTTACAAACCTTTCAAAAACCAATGGCTGTCAGTTATAGATAAAAACAACAGTTTCATTCCATTATTTGTAACACACAAAGTGTTTCAAAACCAAACGGAACCATTCTTGATCACGTTCCTCTTCCTTCCACCATGTTACTCATTAATACAATAACGTAATCAGCATGCAACAGAAAGATGATCCTTGAAGCATTCAATAACAGAAACCATAACATGCCACAGAAACAAAATGACAAACACCTTCTAATCATCAATTGACAATCCTTAAAAAAAAACAATAAAAATATCTCAAATTAATTTTCCTTGTTTTCACTCATTGAACCCTTTGCTTCAATACGTGAACAACACAATTTTATCCTATTATATCACCTCCATCATTGCTCATTGTTGATTCCCTTAAGAAACCTTTTACTTCCTCACATTGTTTATTCTACAATCCACTATATAAATCATCCTCTCCTCTTTCTCTATTTCATCAAACTTTCATTCAATTCAGTTAACTAAGAAACATGGCAATTAAGAAGCTTTTGTTGATTGTTCTTTCGATTTCTTTGGTTCTCAAAATATCCGAGAGCTTTGATTTCCATGAGAAAGATTTGTCCTCGGACGAAAGCTTGTGGGACTTATACGAGCGATGGAGGAGTCACCACACGGTTTCTCGAGACCTTGGTGACAAACACAAGCGTTTTAATGTGTTCAAAACAAATGTGATGCATGTTCACAATACCAACAAATTGGATAAGCCTTACAAGTTGAAGCTTAACAAGTTTGCTGACTTGACCAACCATGAATTTAGGACTATCTATGCTGGATCAAAAGTTAATCACCATAGAATGTTCCGTGGCACCGCGCGTGGAAATGGAACATTCATGTATGAGAACTTTCACAAAGCTCCTACTTCCATTGATTGGAGGAAGAAAGGCGCCGTCACTGATGTCAAGGATCAAGGTCAATGTGGTAAGTAATTGAATACTTGTTATTTAAATTCATCAGTTTTAAGTTTTTGAAGACTCTGTTTAGGTTAGTCACAGTCATAAATAGGAGCCATATTTTTCCACTATGACAAATATTTTACGAGGTTGTTGTTTATTACTAATGTTTTGTATAGGTAGTTGTTGGGCGTTTTCAACAGTTGTAGCTGTTGAAGGAATTAACCAAATCAAGACAAAAAAGCTAGTGCCTTTATCTGAGCAAGAGCTTATAGATTGTGACACTGAACAAAATCAAGGATGCAATGGTGGACTAATGGAATATGCTTTTGAATACATCAAACAAAAAGGTGGTTTAACAACAGAAAGCTATTACCCTTACACAGCAGATGATGGATCATGTGATTCATCAAAGGTGAATATTAAACTAAACATTGATTTAAAAAATCCATTATAATTGACACATGACTTTAAAATGCAAAAACCATTCATGTTGCAGGAGAATTCCCCAGCTGTTTCAATTGATGGCCATGAGACTGTTCCGGCTAACGATGAAGATGCATTGCTCAAAGCTGTTGCCAACCAACCTGTTTCCGTAGCCATAGATGCCGGAGGATCCGATTTCCAGTTCTACTCTGAGGTAAATAAGGGAGTAGTGTCATATATTAACCACGATTTAACAGTGACAAATATTTTATGATGCATTTTTTAGCCTCAGTTTAAACGCGTCAAAATTTGGATCATGTGCGGTAGTCTGCCTTTCACGCCGTATATATTTTTGAAGCGAATGTGTATCTTAAATTTGTTTACATATATAATTACAGGGAGTATTTACTGGTGATTGTGGAAAAGAGCTAGATCATGGTGTGGCAATAGTGGGATATGGGGTAACTGTTGATGGAACTAACTACTGGATAGTGAGAAACTCATGGGGACCTGATTGGGGGGAACAAGGTTATATCAGAATGGAGAGAAACGTATCTGACAAGGAAGGACTTTGTGGCATAGCTATGGAGGCTTCTTATCCAATCAAAAAGTCCTCTAAAAATCCAAGAGGACCTACATCATCTCTAAAGGATGAACTTTGAATGCTAGTTTCAAATAAATTTAAGCTTTCATCAATGTTGGATGTTGTTTATTAGTGTGTTGCAAATAGTATTATTACCTTATGTTACTGTAGTATTTGAATATTGGATTTGATGTTAATGTATTATTTGGATATTTATGCTGATATTGCACAAAGAAATAAAGCTTTCAATTTGATATAACACGTATGACATCATCTGCAAACATAGTCTATAGAGATATGATTTATTTCACCAAACAAAAAACTTAAACTCAGAAGTTTTTGATTCTGAGTTGGTCATAAACTCGGATATCAAAATTTAAAAAAAAAAAAAATTCTAAAATATTAGATGTCTTTTGCATGGGTTTCTCGAAGACTTCAAGGAATCGGATTCATATCGTTCTACTTTATGAATTATGACATATTTGGTATCATAAGAATTTAATATTATTATTGTTTCTCAAATTAGAAGATTTTGACAGAGTTATCATTCATTAAAACAATGTCATAATCAATTATATATTTTTTCTCCCTTATCTAATCGATTAGGTATTTGGTCTAATTGATTCATTAGATCAAACAACTTTGTCCTAATCATTCTGACAATTCTCAATTCATCGAGCTAGTCTCCAAAAATATTTTAGGTGATTTTATTTGAAAAATAGAGACTTCAAAAATATTTTTAGTGTGTGTGATTTAACCATACTACTTTCAACAACGCCCTTGTATTTTTACATAACACTGATCACTCAAGTAGACATGATTAAGCAAACTTTCACTCTTTATCTCTTTCACACTTTGAAGCTTTAAGTCTCTTTGTTATATATACGAATCACATAAGCACTTCACTTGAATCTTATTGGAGGTGAGACTTTGAGATATCTTCAATTCATACACCATCATCAGAGAATATCGTTGGTGATCATAAAACACTAATTCTTTAGCTTGATTTGGAGGAATAACTTGATATATCATCTTATGCATCTTTGACTTCTTGCTCTAGTACTCTCTTATCTTCATGCATTGTTGTCATTAGGCTAACTTTAATAATTGTTACAACTTTAGATGTTTTCATCCTTATTAGGGTCAAACATATCTTGCTTATCTACGAGCTTTGATCATTTCTTGATTATACCTGCAAGCAATAGTTTCACATGCACAAGCATTTCTTTTTACTTTCTAATATGTGATGGATCACTACACTAGTATAATTTGTTTCAACTTTATTTGCAAGTAACCATATTATGTCAACATCAGATTTGATTAGATGACTAAAGTTTCTTTTTCTTGAAAGAAGAATATGGTTCGTCAGATAGTGAATGAGACGAATATTTGGACACATGAGGCCTATTGTGACCGAAAAATAAATATCTGGTTTTGGATTTAACAAAAAGGATGAAGCAGCAACCCCATGGTTGTAGTTGTTATCCTTTTCTGGTTCATTTGGTTTGATCAAAAGTCTGATGCATAATACATCCAAAACTTCAGCAAACTCTTCTAATGGCATGAATATCTTGTGTTTTCACGACTTCAGAGGATTTGATCCCATCTATGTAGTAGAGATTAGAGTATAACATCTTTACCAATGATAGATACACTTTTCTTGAAAATTTGGCGATAAAACCCTTTAGGTTTGATTCTTCAAAATTCTTGAAAAACTTATAGTATTTAAAGACATTTGTACCCCAAGGAATAAATGGGCATGATACTCCTATTTTCAAACTTTTGGAGAATATTCTTTCTTGTTCTTGAGATTAGAAGTTGATCAGAATCTGAGGTGGGTCAAAGACAATCGTCTGTGATGCTGGGTGTGAAAGAGAAGGAAGGGGTGTACCTACAAGGCACTCTGATGCTAAAATGAGAATCAAGCAAGAGAGAGAGAGAGAGAGAGAGAGAGAGAGAGAGAGAGAGAGAGAGAGAGAGAGAGAGAGAGAGAGCAAGTACAAAATATGAGTATATCAGGCTGAATATTGAATACCTGACCCTCTCGAGTGAGAGGATTTTTATAGTGCCCCAGCACTTGGCCATTGGTCCTTATTTTCGGGGCGAGATAACTGTTTCCCGAAGAATATGTAATTGTTAGAACTAGTCGTTTTAATGGACAGACGTGCCCATAACTACCCTTGCTATGGGCAGGGACGTAGTTACATGTACAAGCGTCTTGCCTGTTTCTGGATGGTGGAACCGTGCGTGACGGGCAGAGACTGGCGAGGAGAAATGTTGTGACCAAGGGTAAATGGGCCAGCCTCCCCTGTTGGGGGGGGGGGGAATAAAGGTAAATTCTCCCCCAAAATGGTTGGACTTAGACAATTGGGTCGTTCTAGGAGAAGAAGTGGATTGGGCCAGTCCGAAACAGTAGCTCCCAAGTCGTTGCTACTGAGCATGGTAGTGAAGACTTAAGGATAATCCACTTACCAGGCAAATTCGTCGTAAGCTACCTTGTGCCCGAAGACACAATTTAATACAAAAATCAAGAGGATTCAGAGAGACAATGGAACCAAATTCACCAACTTAAAGGTACAATGTTTCCTCATGGACAAAGGGATACTTCATGAGACTTCATGCGTAGCCACACCGCAACAAAATGCATGTGTAGAAAGAATGCACATACATATTTTAAATGTTGCAAGAGCTTTGGGGTTTCAAGAAAATATTCCTATCCAATTTTGAGGAGAATGCGTACTAGCAGCGACTCAAATCATTAACAAGACACCTACTGTGGCAAACAAGGGTCTCACGCCTTTTGAGATGTTTGTAAAACTACTAACTTATGATCACCTTAAAGTCTTTGGGTGCCTATGTTATGTTGGAACAAGTTTGAAATCAAGAGATAAGTTTGACTTTAGAGTCGAGAGGGGCATCTTCGTAGGTTATCCGCAAGGACAGAAAGGTTGGAGAGTCTACAATTTAAATACTCGTGAGTTCTATACCTCGCGTGATGTGATGTTTTATGAGATCATTTTTCCTTACATTGAGTCTCAAACATATAAAATAAAAGAAGCACACACTTAAAATTTTCATGACATTTATGAACCACACGGAGAGGAGAGCCATGAAGAAGATAAGGATGAGACCAATGATGAGGAATGAGGATCTCAAGGGAAGGAAGACACAAACACAACACAAATTGAAGGGGAGATAATACAAGAAAACATAGTTGATGAGAGGGTTGAAACCCAACAACAAAATGGTGTGATTGATCTCCCACCACATGACAGACAACCACCTGGATACCTTAAGGATTACTATCGCCCAACAACAAGCAAGAACCCCATAAGCAAGCACCCGAATCAGTCAAAATCATCAGGTAAAGCCTATGATATCACTAATTTTATCAATGATAAATGTTTTTCCCATAAAAATCAGGTCTACCGTGCAACAATTAGCAATATTCAAGAACCAAAGAGTTAACAAGAGGTTGTTAAGCACTTCGAGTGGCAAAAAGCTAAGGCAGCAGAAATCAAAGCCTTGGAAGAAAACAAAACCTAGGAGGTCATGCTACCACCATTGGGAAAGAAGATAATGGGATGCCAATGGGTCTACAAGGTAAAGTATAAAGCTTCTGGAGAAGTTTAGAAGTACAAGGCAAGGCTTGTACCAAAAGGGTTCACCCTAATAGAAGGAGAAGATTTCAAGGAGTCCTTTGCTTTTGTAGCTAAAATAATAAAGGTTCGATGTCTTCTTTCGGTAGCTATAGAAAAAGGATGGGTGCTTCACCAAATATATGTAAGAAACGCTTTTCTACACATGGAATTCGAAGAGGAAGTTTACGTGCAAGTTTCAAATGGATACCAAGTTCCTAAAGAAGGAATGGTTTTCCGTTTGAGAAAATCTCTATATTGGTTGAAACAAGCTTCACTAAACCGATACTCAAAACTCTCTCAATCACTCATACACTACGGTTTCCATGAATCCAATGTGGGTCATAGTTTATTCACTTATACTAAAAGAGATAAGTTCATGGGTGTATTAGTGTATGTAGACGATCTTCTAATTGCAGGAAATGATAGTTCTACATGCAATGAATTCCAACAATATGTAAAGCATTGCTTTCACATGAAGGACCTTGGATCTCTTAAATATTTTCTAGACCTTGAACTAGCACGAGGAGTAGCTAGATTATTCATTTTCCAACGCAAATACACTTTAGATATTTTAAGTAAATGCAATATGCTTGACTGCAAACCATCATCCTTTCTAATGGAGCAAAACCAAAAACTTGCTTTGGATACAAGGTCGATATTCCCAAATCCCCCTCATTATAGAAGGCTAGTTGGCTGTCTAATCTATCTGATAATTACACGACCAAAGATTACCTATTCAGTTCACGTATTGAGCCAGTTTATGCAAGCTCCTAATCAAGCTCATTGGCACACAACTATGCATGCACTAAGGTATTTAAAATCGTCTCTGGGATAAGGTGTCATCCTTCTTAAAGATAGTGATCTAAAGTTGGTAGAATCGATTCAGATTGGGCACCATGCCCTTTAACTCGAAGATCCACCATAGATTACTTAATGAAATTAGGACCCGCTCCAATATCATTGAAGACAAAGAATCAAACTACTGTGTCAAAATCATCAAGTGAGGCAGAATATTGAGCCATGAACCAAGTTGTTAGCGAAATCATTTGATTTCACAGCTTAATATCAAGTTTATGAATTTAGTATGATTCTCCTACTGTGCTACATTGTGACAATCAAGCTGCAATCCACACTGCTGCAAACCCAGTCTTCCACAAAAGGACGAAACACATCAAACAGATTGTCATTTCATTCGTACTCACTTGCAGAAAGACATAATCTCCACCATCTGTGTTCACACCACAAAACAACATACTAATATATTCACAAAGGCATTAGCGTTAGGGGTGTGCATGGATAACCATTTAATATGAACCAACCCATTTTTATGGTTATCATTTATAAATCAAACCACTTGTCACAAAAACCAGTTTAAAATTCATAACCGGTTTAAAATCGATTTTAAATGGATTTTGATTTTAATTCAAATTATTTAATT